GCCAGTGAAGCAACGTCCTCCACAACTAGACTGAAGAACAAGAGGATAGCAACTTGTCTGTTCCCCTTCCCCCAATTCCCCAATAAAAAAAATTAAAAAAAAAAAAAAAGGCATAACCTGCGAGGTTGGATTTTCTAACATAGTTTACAAGACTATATTTCAACAAAAAAGTGGGGCTGAATATAGCACAAACAAAGAAGTACAGGAGACTGGGCCCAATCTGCTGATCCTACCACAGACCCTAAAAATGTGTTTTTTGGAATAAATCCCTAAGAGTATCATCTATTTTAGAGACAAAGCAAAACACAGCCTGGCTGAGGTTTGTACGTTTCCTACATAAAATGTGAGTTTGCAATACTGAAACTTAAGAGGATGATCATATCAATAACATTTCAAGTATAAACACCTTAAGAGAAAGCACTTTCTTAAATATAAATTCTGTTTACTGTAACGCTAGCATAGCCTAATGAGCCAGCCACTGCCAGCAACTGTGGAAATCTGGCTGCAGAAGCTCTGAGCCATATGGTTCCTAACGTGTCAATTTAAGGATTTCAACAAAATCAGAAGACAGAATCATCATTTTTGTGTCATTCTTCAAAACTATTTTGTGGTTATAAATCAGAATCATGGTTAACATCTGAGGGGCAGTAGTGGTTGCAAGGAGACATGACAGAGATTTCTGGAAGGGGCTGTTCCTGATCTGGGTGCTGGTTACATAAGTGAGTTCATTTCTGAAAAATCTTTCAAGTTATATACTTATAGATATTGGGTTGTCGGAAAAGTCATGACGCATTGTTTGCAATGAAAACCAGGAAAAATACATCATGACTTTTCCAACAACCCAATAGTTTCCTGAAATGCATGCATCAATAAAAACCTTTGACAATATGCTAGTCTTTGCTAATGAAACCTTTATATAGCCATTTTATGCCAACTTTATACTCTTAAAAAGGAGTATGTTATCTGTGTATCTTGTCATGTAGGCTCTTTGAGGTCCAAGATGGTGCCCTAACTTGGTTCCCGGCATTGATGTTGCCACCCTGCAGGCTGGACAGACATCCCCCAGGCCCAGATCCTTTATGATTTTCATATAGGCAGTTCAGGAAGCTGCAGTGTCACCCTCCAGACCACCAGTAACCAATGGAGAGAGAATGGATAACCAAGAAATCCCAAGAAGAGAAGCGTGCCTACCCTTTTCTCCTGTGTCACAGCATACTCCACGACCTCAGTTCCATTTTCATTGTGATAAACCAAATCAAATTTCCCAGGTTCTTTCACAGCTGAAATCAGACAGCAGGGAGGAGAGACAGTAAGTCATTTCCCAGTAGTGAAAACGTTCCTCTACAGGGAATTTATATCATTAGAAAACCAACTACAAATTGTCCACTGATGTGAAGGCTAGGTACACACATGAAAGCATGGAGTGCTCAGTGACAGGAGACCCTGAGAAAACCCTGCACCAGCAGACAGGGGCTTCTTGGCCATTTACTAATCAGAGACAATCTTTCCTTCATCAAAAACAAATGAGCTTGATACACTATCACTAGTACTCCCAGAAAAGAACGTACAACCACAAGATAATCTCAAAAGGTAACTGATAGGTTTCAACAAGGGGAGGTAATCTGAATTCTGCAAAATTCTTATATCATGATCTGTCCTCAGAAATTACGCACGCTCACTACTAGGTAATACGGCAGCCTTCACTTTACATGGTAGTGTAGGGCCACAAAAATGACCATGCAGGCTGAAATCACACAAAACAATCTTAATAATCAATGGGAAAAATGATGATTGCTTCACAATCTTTAAAAAATTTTGTCAGGGCGGCCAATTGGCTCAGGTGGTTAGAGCGCAGGCTCATAACACCAAGACTGTTGGCTCAATTCCCACAAGGGCCACTGAGCTGCGCCCTCCACAACTAGATTGAAACAACTACTTGATTTGGAGCTGATGGGTCCTGGAAAAACACACTGTTCCCCAATAAAGTTTAAAATAAATAAATAAGCTTTAAAAAAAATTTTGTCAAAACAAAAACTTTACTGTATAGGGAAATGGAAATGAAAAAAAGTAAAACTAATATTTATGTAGCATACTATAAAACATTAGAAACACTGAGATTTAGCGTCTTCTATGTCTTTGTAAGACACTTATCAAGGGTGTTTTGAACAGTACTTGCCTTGTCAGGCAGCAGTGATACTGAGAATCTTCCCTATGCCTCGCAGAATCGTCATACTCATTTCTAAGTCTGAAATAGCTCTGAAAGTTTCTGTTTCTTTTTCACAATTCTCGGAAAGTTTTTGCAGATGTCATCTTCATTTTCTGGGACATCTTCATTCCTTTCGTCACAACTACTTTCCTCATCTATGTCAACAAGTTCATGTAAACCTCAGTGTCAACATTTCCAGTTAGCTATTTTTTTAATTTCACTTCAACTTGATTTGGATGTCAATTTTTTGTTTCTCTGTTGTGCTTTCCATCTTTGTTGGCCAATTTCCTATTTCAATTATCCATTTTTGTAAAAATGGGTTTATCACTGAGAGACAAGGAAGCTGTGTGTACGGGAACCGAATCACAGAAGTACAGTGACCAATCACCAAGAGACTTGGAAAGAAGTGGTGTGATTGGTCACTGATCATGATGGGCATCTGTTATTATGTAATGATTTGTGGACTGAAGAGCTGGCAGGACTTTATGCAATTACTCACAGTTAACAGTTAACATGCCCAATGTCATTGGAGGACTGGTGTTACTTAACTAAACCGTGATAACTGAAGTTCATGTATATCAGAACCATGCAAAGCAAGGACTACCTGCATTTCTATTAGAAAACAGATAAAGCCGTTTATGATGCCCCAAAGAAAAATTCTAATTACATGTCATCACTGCCAATCACCTGACAAGCAGTGCTCAGGCTATGTCCATGGAATTTGACCATGGACAAACTTCTCTGTCCACCATTCCTAAGAAGGGAGATTTCTTCCAATGAAACCTAATCAGAAAAAAGCTGGGAAACCAGTGTAGGTTACATGTACTCATTTACTTAATAACATAAAGAGGTTTTATTGAAAAACCCTTTTGGCTAACTTCTGTGTACTGGAGTTTTGATTCTTTTACTCACTACCTTACTTAAAGACAAACAGAAACTAATTAATTGCCTTAGGGTCTGCTAAAGAAAAAGGGATCTCCCCTGCTCTCTGGCCAAGGACCCTTATGACACAAACCAAGTTAAGCCATATACAGTGAAAGCCAGGATTTCAGGACCAATAATGGGTGGGATAAATCACGGATCAAGCAGAATGTGTGGGAGTGCGTACACATGAATACTTCAGACATTTCATTTTGATGTAACACACAAAAATATGTTCGTTTGTCAATCTTTTGAAATAGAACTACGTAGATCTTATGAGTCCATCGACTAGAGTTGTCTTTCTTTTATAAAACATATCCTTAACGTACGTCTGCAATTGGCACAATTTCCAGTTTTGAGGGTTTTTTAAAGTTTTGCTAGAATGCAAAAACTAGCCAGGCAATCTAAGTGCAAAATCTTCCCAGATTTTTACCAAACTCCTCCCAATCTCTGACAGCTGACCCACTGACACATAACTCAACAGTAACTTTTTTAGTAACACTCTTAAGTCAGCATTCAACTTGGGTTTCATAGAAATAATTCTTTTTGCAATCAGTTTTCATCGGTTTGTGTAACTTTTATGAAGTTACATAATTACAGTAATAAGAACAACTTGTCTAACAGCTTTGGGAACAAATCCAACAACTCTTAGCAGACATACAACTCCATAGCAGGAACACAGGCCCTCCGGGCTGCTGTGTGATGACAGAGGTAGCGGAGAACGCCGGCTAACCATGGAGGCCAGTGAAGACAGCAGCTCCTGTGTACGCAAACTATTTAGAAACCAATGCAGATATGAAGAGTCTAAAAATTTTCAAATTCTTTTCTAGAAGACTCACCAGGTAAAGATGAAAGAATTTCTATATCTACTTGCTGGGTCTCTGGATTGTGGCTTAATATTTTTCCTTCCTTTCAAAAATAAAAGTCCAAGTCAAAAATCAACATGTGAAACATTATGAATACACTAAAACCAGTGAATGAATTGCACACTTTAAAATGGTTAAAATGGTGAATTTTATGTTATGTGAATTTTATCTCAATAAAAAAATTTTTGAAATATGTCAGCATATAGTGGAAATGAAACTCCCACACACCAAGCCAGTATCTCCCCTGGTTTAAATTACCCAAAGGTCAGGTACCACAAAACTAGGAACAGCCCCTACAGCCCAAAGCCAGCTCATTATTCAAACTAGCCAATCCTACACTGTCTCCCCCGCCCCGCCTTGCCTAACCCCAGGAGGCCCCAGTAAAGGCTCTGGCCTAGGCTTTCTCCTCACCCCTGCTTCGGCCTCCTGACCACGCCCTCGGGCTTTCCCCTGCAGCCCCTCCTCTACAGGAATGTAGGTAATTAATTCCTCTTTCAATAGCATTGGCTATTCTATGTCCATCATATCCATAAATTAATCCCATGGGAACAAATATGACAGGATCAGGGGCTGAAGAGACCACATTCTTTGAAGAGAGATTTGACTTCTGAAGACAAACTTAATGAATAAAAGCCAATGATCTAGCAGGGTAATAGTACTTCCAGTCAAAGCAAAAAGGTGGGGCCGACTTTCTCTCTCAAAATGGTTTTGAAAGCCAATTTCAAAAAATGTGCTAAAACTACCAGGAAATAAAGTAAGCGAATAGCTTTCCAAGGTAATAACTGTGATGACCAACATCCATTTAATGGGAATTTTTAAAAATTCATATCAGAATCACAATTTGTAGAGGTCTTGGTGGGATGTATAAATTCTATATTTATTCCCATTCCCTCATATATCCCAAAATTTAATTAGTGATTTATGGTAGGGTGACAAAACTCCCTGGTTTGCCCGACAGTTCCTTTTACATTTCCTTCCAGTATAATGATCAACATAATATTAATTCTTTTCACTCACAAGTATCCTGATTTAGATGATAAATTATATGGTCACCTATATTAAGGGGCTAAGATGAAAAATATGATAAAACACCAATTACCCAGAACTAACCCACCTAATCCGTTCGTGCACTGATTCTTCTTCTAGTCTGCTTTTGAGGAAAGGTTCTTACCAAGATTTCAAGTCTTCCAAGGTATCAGCTCAGATTAAATCCTCTTTCCTTTTATTTTATATTTAACACTATATTAACATGACCAATTATTACCTTTAAAATTGACTTACAGTCTATACATTACATCAAAATATGAAAGTATACATTTTAATAAGATTTTCAACAAAATTTTGAATGGGTGAAAAGAGAAGGAAACATGTGACTTTGTAATCCCATTGATTGAGTCAAGCTCTTACTGAACTGTGATAAAGCTTATATGCCAATATGATGACCCATATAGATATTAAGTGAGTAAATACCAAGAATAATATTAGTGATTTATCTGGGGTTAACTGATAATGCAAAAGAACCCATATTAGACCATAATAACCAGCAGTAATTCACATTTATATAAAATGTTCTTATGATGAAAATAATTAAATTTTCAGGCTAAGAGCTATTTATTATTTTCTTTCAAAGCTTAGGATCATGGGGGAGAGGTAGTCAAATAAGTTTGTGTGTCTAAGTTGATTACAAAAACGAAATTTAAATTCGTCATTCTCATTCTATAGTCTTCCCAAGTGTAAGGGAAATAACACTGGGAGACTTCACAATAATGCTATTTATAGCAAGTTTACATTTGGTAATGTTTTCATTTTCTACTTTACGGCATTATTTACTCAAAAAACTCTACATTGTCCATATAACAGTATTAAATATGACTTTAGCGTCTTTAATACACTGACAATTATTTTGAAATAAAAAGCCTTACCTTGTAGTCAGAGACATCAGGAGAATAATCGGATGTTAGTTCCAAAAGCTAAAAAAGAAGAAAAAGTCCACAAATACACAAACCCTGTGGCTCCTATCCCCACCTCTAAGAAAACATGCAGAGCCTAACCATGAACCTGTGGCAATACAGGGGTTCCAGTGGAAAAGGTTTCTTTGTTTTTGTTTGGGCGGCGGGGGGGGGGTTATGTACAGTGTTATTTTATTGTGCACTTGCTATGTTCCAGACACCAGGCTAAGCCATTTTTATTCATACAGAAAACAATTACTGGGCACCTACTACATGCTAGGCATTAAAACACGGAAGATATGATCCAGAAAGGGTGTGTGTGTGTGTGTGTGTGTGTGTGTGTGTGTGTGTGTGTGTGTGTGTACTGCTAATAAGTTTATCTGGAGAGGGAATAATCTTTTTGCTGTAGTTGTTTTAAAATATACCTTAAATGCAATCCTTTCTCCAATTTGGGGGGCAGCTGCTAACAGCGGTAACAGGCTGTAGTCCTTCTTGTGTGTCTCTACTGTATTCTGAAAAACAGTATGGAGTCATGTGACTTTGTTACTGGTGAGAAAATGTGAGTTGATGACACCAACTCCAGACATGCTATGTGGGGAAAGGGGAAACCGTAAGCTCACAGTAAAGACTACTTGCCTGGATGATAGTAGACGAGTTTGTTATCATTTCATTTAAATGCTGCTGCTTCAGATATTCAGGGTTCCTATTTAAAATGTAGGGAAGAGCAAGCCCTCGTCCTCGACCTCTCCCCCGCATGCCCCGACCCCTAGCCCCCTTCCAAGAAAGAAGGTCCTCTCCTCTACCGAAACCTCTTCCCAAACTGGTGGGGAGAGTCACGCTGGGAGGAGGACCAGGGGCCTGTCTGCCACCATTTGAGTCAGAGTGCTTCCATCCAATAGCATTTGGAGTCTTTGATGATGGTCCTGGACCGAGACAACCTTTTCCTGCAAAGAGGCCCGCCGTCTTTAAGAAACCTGCAGGCCGCTCCACAGCGCTCTTGGACACTCTGCATCCGTCATCTGACTCTGAACTAGAGTCTGAACTAGATGATGTTCTGCTTGCCTTGTCCTTGATGGGGGTGGAGTTAAAGCCAGTTTTTGTAGCCATTTTGTTTGCAATTGTGTTTTTTACAGAGGGTCCTTCCTTTGATAATGCAGCTGATATTTTCTCTGAGGAATTTCTGACCTCCAAGATGACATTGCTGACACCGTCGCTGGTGGACCCATGATAAGATTCAGACTCTGAGGAGGAACTGGGACTATCTTGTGTATGCATGTCCATACCACCTTTCCTTTTGGCTTTCACAAGGCTGTTTCTAGCAGGACCTTTTGAAGGACCACACTTCTGGACGGTCCACTCTTTCCCTGTCTGTGCTTTAGAGGCCTTGGAATTCTTCGTCTGTTTTTTATATTGACATTTCTCCTTTTTCTTTGGTGATTTCCTTTTGGTCTCTTCGCCGTCATCATCTACTACACCACAGGTGGCTTTGTTTTTCCTCTTGTTTTTTTTCCTCGCACTCTGATCTGTGGCAGCTTTTGGTTCTTGATCCAAGATATTTTCATGGTTGTTCTCTTGCCTCTTCAAGTGCTTCTTTGAATTTCTGTAATCTAGTTCAGCTTCTTCATCCTCTTCTAACTTAAATGACCGCTTCTTTGCTTTTCTAGGTAAGAAATGAGGACCGTCACCATTACTGACTATTACAGGATGCTCGGCGCTTCCTCTCTCTTCTAATTTAACTCTATCAAAAGAATAAGAAAGAAAACTAGAGTGAGTAATGATGTCTCCAGGTCATAGTTATATATATCGAGGTGACTGCAAGCTGTCATTGCCATCAGTCAGTGAAAAAATGTCAACTCATTGAAGGACCAAAGACTCTTTTTGACAAAATGGCATCACTTACGGTCAACTTTCAAATGACTGGTTTTATTTATTGAATACCTACTGCATCCCAAACATTTTCTATACATTTTCTCTAATCTAAACACAATCATGAAGTAGATATCTCTTTTTTTTTTTTTAGATTTTTTTGGGGGGTTGGGGGAGGGAAACAGTGTTGGGGAATTGGGGAAGGGGACCAGCCAAGTTGTTGTTCTTCAATCTTCATTGTGGAGGGCTCCAGTCGCCATCTGGCTTCCCATCAGCAGCTCATGGCCTCTAAGCTCAAGGTGCTGTGTCAATCTTAGTTGCTGGTGGGCGTAGCCACCATCCCACGTGGGAGTCGAACCAGCAGCCTTGTTGTTAAGAGCGCACGCCCTATCCACTGAGCCATCCGGGCAGCAGCTCAGCTCAAGGTGTCGAGTTCAGTCTTAGTTGCTGGTGGGCATAGCCACCATCCCAGGCAGGAGTCGAACCCAGCAGCCTTGTTGTTAAGAGCGCACGCTCTATCCACTGAGCCATCCGGGCAGCAGCTCGGCTCAAGGTGCCAAGTTCAGTCTTAGTTGCAGGTAGGTGTAGCCCACCATCTAACAGGCAATCTTGTTACACCAGCTGAGCCATCCTGCCACCTGTTGGGGGCTCAGCAACAGCTCAGCTCAGGTACAGTGTCACTGGCCCATGTGGCAATCGAATCGGCGGCCTTGTTGCTCAGAGCTTGTGCTCTTAAGCCAACTCTTGACCAACTGAGCCACTCGGCTGGCCCGGTATCTCTCATTTTAAAACAAATCACAAAATTACGGCTCAGACAAGAACCTGTCCAAGATTCATAGCTAATAAGCAGCAGAAATGAGATTCAAACCTCAGTTTGTCTAAGTTCACAGTCTTTCCACTCTATTATGTAGCCAACCCCAAACAGCAAAAATGTCAACTGTCCTTTTTTTGTTTTTAAATGTGGGCTGTTTTTTTTTTAAAAAAACAAACAAACAGATTTTATATTTATTTAGTTTAAATTTAGGAAAATACTGAACAATTTATGTTCTCTGGCATAGTGACAGACATTGTAAAATTCCACATTTTGCGAGTATTAATTTTATGTGTCAACTTGATTGGGCTATGGGGTGCCCAGGTATTTGGTAAAACACTGTTTTGGGTATATCCATGAGGGTGCTTCTGGATGAGATTAACATTTGAATCAGTAGGCTGAGCAAAGCAGATGCCTTTCTCAAAGTGAGTGGGCCTCACCCAAACTGTTGACGGCCTGAACAGAATAAAAGGCTGAGCAAGGTAGAATTCGCCCTCTGTGCCTACCTATGGAGCAGGAACATGGGTCTTCTCCTGCCTGAGGACTCAGACTAGGACTGGAACTTACATTACCAATTCTCCTGGTTCTCAGACTTTTGAACTTGGACTAGAACCATGTCATTAGATCTCCTAAGTCTCTAGCTTGCCAGCTGTGTATCTTGGGACCTCTCAGCCTCCATCATCTCATGAGA